AGCTGTGATATTCAGTGAAACACAAAGCAGGAAATAATGGCTTCTGGTCTGAATTACTCCAAGTGGGCTTCAAGTTGTCCTGGCCAAGGGCTGAGGGGCAGTGTGACAATCTGAGAGCTACCTTCCCTGCCTCCAGCAGGGAAGAGCTGGCATGGAGGCTTCCAGAATTAGCTTGTGAGGGACAGTGACAGCCTTAGCCATGCTCACGGTAGCTGAGATATTTAGGAAAATTCTTAATAATTCTACAATATACAGAGCAAACACTTCCTTGGACTGCTTTATGATTTAGATCTTCACTGCATCATTTGCTGATCTGCCTCACTTAGTTTCCCCTAGAGCGCCAATGACACAAACTCCTCAAACCTACTAATATTCCCTTTGTAGTGACACTTTGAATGACAACTCTAAGCCACACAGCAAAGCCTTGCAACTCTCCTTAATTTGGAAACCATGAGTCTTGAGATGCATTAAGCTTTTCTGCGCATTTTTGTTTTGCGTCCTTGGTTTGCTTGTGTATCTTCCTTGGTCATGTCCACGGAGCTACGTAAGATGTTCTATGTGACACGCTGTGTCAAGGATCTCACAAAAAGCTGGAAGTGGCAGTATGGTTCAAGTGGTAAAGCACCAACCTTGAGCAAAAAATGCCAAGTGAGAGTGAGAGGCCCTGAGTTCAACCACAGTACTCTCTGTCTCTGTTTGTCTGTCTGCCTGTCTGTCTCTCTCCCCTCCTCCCACCCACAGTCATACACATTGGCAATGCCTCCCAGAACCTGTCAAAACCCTGTATTGCTATCTAATATTGTATAGTTCCATATTCCATATAACGTTCCTTGCTCAATTAGGGAACTACTGAGCATGAATTATCCATTATAACTTATCCTATGAGGAGAAATCCCCTTCTTTAGGAAAGCTTGGGTCTATTAATATTCTAACTAATCACTGGCTCCTACAAATATCAAAAACGTCTCATACAATAAGTGAGATAAAGAGAGGGAGGATTTATACTTCCATTACCTGCTCATCTACCATTTTTCTCAGGCTTTCCTGACTTGATCCTGAATTAATGAGCTTGTTACATGATATCTAATAAAAGTGACTAGAGATATTGTTTGCAATCTACCACATACTTGGTTCAAGGCTGAATTGATTTCATCTCTATTTAACACATGCTTGTTTTCTGTTTCTCTTGTCTTCCCACAGCCCATGGCTCACTTTTTTTCCCCCCATCTGGGAAACTTATCTCCCAAAATGCTCCCCATCCATCAGCCAAGGACACTCTTCCCGACAGAGCGTCTGCCAGTTTGACGGAGCACAAGTAGTCACTAGTTTGGGGATGCCTCCCACACTCCCTGGAGCTGTGTGTTTTTCTAGCCTGCCTAACCACACAAATGCAATTTGGGATATTTATACCTACCTCCAGTTTCTATTGAGATAATAGCACTGCTCTTACAGAACTGAGCACAGCATGTACTGTGAGTTGTTACGCTACAGAATAAAAGTTACATATGCTGCTAATGTAATTTTTTGGATTTTTGCATTTTCACTCCTCTTGGTTTCCTGTGACTCAAAAGAATAAAAATCAAATGCTTGCTTACTAGGCACTGAGTGGCTCAGGCTTCTAGTCCTAGATACTCAAGAGACTGAGATCTAAGGATTAAGGTTTGAAGCCAAACAGGGAAAAAATATTTGCAGGACTCTTTATCTCCAGTTAATCACCAAAAACCTAGAAGTGGAGATGTGGCTCAGGTGGTAGGGCCCCAGACTTGAGTGAAAAATCTAAAGGACAGTGCCCAGGCTCTGAGTTCAAGCTACAGTACCCAGCACCACATAGATAGACAGACAGACAGACAGACAGACAGACAGACAGATAGATAGATACATACATACATACATACATACATATATACATACATACATACATAAAAAGATTTAAAGGATCTTATGCTTGCAAGGATGCATAGCTTTGGAACTCAAAGCTTTCCCTGATAATTGGCACCACTTCCATTTTCCAGTCCTCTATGTGAACAATCACTTCCAATACTTTCAAGCTTTGAAGCAGAAGCTTTCTAATATGAAAGCAGGAGGAAGAAAAGGTGAGGGATGGCTGCAGAAGCTCTGTGCTGGCAGAAGGGGAAAGGGAAGCAGAGGAGCCAGGAGTCATGAACACACTCCACAAGCTGCAGCACAAAAGCACTGAGCGTGGGCACAGGTGGGTCCCAGCCTCTCTGGCTGGATAAAGCTTAAGCACTGAGCTTGAATGAAGACTTTCATTGCTGTTTGCTGTTTTGCTTGGCCAGTAGCCATGGCAAACATTTGCAGGTGGCTTGGCCAGATTTTGACACTTAAATATTTGAGGTTGTGATAAAAATCAGAATATTACTACAATATGGTTCTGTGCAGCCTCACTACACACACACACACACACACACACACACTTTAAAAAAATACTATGCAATTTCAAATGTTCATTTAAAGACACAGTCTCCAGAGGGAACTCATGTGTTCAAGTAAGTACTCATTTCCTCTTTGCTGAGAGAAATAAAAGAGTCAACCATCCCTAAATGCTACCACCTAGAGTTTCAGACTGAATCCACTGGTGAGATGGGCTGTGTTGGTTCTCGCTGAGCCCGGCGATCATCCAGGCAGGTTTTGGATGGGTCACAGGGCACAACATGGAAATGACAGGATGTGTGGGTTTGAATCAACATAGTAAGCACAACAGGGAGGATCTGGAGAAAAGAAATAGCCTCCCTTCCAGCTTGGCAATGGGACAGAGTGCTAAAAGTGACAATTATCTCCTAGAACACACCAGGGGAGATATACAACACTCCAAGAGGGGGAATGAATGGGAAGAGGGCATGCACACGGGGAGTGCATTGGAAGGTCACACAAGAGAAACACCCCTCCTCTATCCAGGCACAGTGACAGAGCCTATCAATGTTACCAGAATGTATAGTTAGGGGCTATCTGGGTAAATTATTGAAAGAATCAACACCCATCTTAAAATTTAGTGCTAGCCTTTTAAAGCATTGCTTCATGAAAGCCAGTGTTGTGTTAACAATGGACTCCAAGAGGATGGTGGGTAAGGGCACAAAGGGGCAGGCAGTGGAGCTGCAGGGGGGAGGAATGCTGTAAAACTGCTAGTAAACTCTACCACATTTTATGTTTTTCCCCTTGGAAGAAAAATAAAATGATTACAATTAGCTGGCCTAACTGAGAATTGCCTACCCTCAGTCAGTCCCCTAGAGTGAAGGCGTTTCTAGAGATTTAGATGCTGTCTTTAAAGGACCAACCCCACCCTCAGAGCAGGGCCCTGGCTTTCCATAACAGCAACAGTTGTTGTCTGTGTCTCTTGAGAGCAAAGAAATCTTTACCAGAGGTACTTGCTAATATTTGTCATTGTTTAAACAAAGTCTAGAATCCAGATGGCCACCTTAATTTTCTGATTCTTAAATGGAAAATCAAATATGCCCATGGTAAGCTCACAACATAGTCATTACCTATAGCACTTGCTTCTTTGGGTGTTACAACCCAACCTGATGAGCCAAGAGATGTGAGAAATGAGAGACCCCCCATTCTAGAGCTTTCTGAAGAAGAATAAAGTGAAAACTGTGCCTTCGGTTCTTGCTTGGAATTCATGAATTCAAAACAAAGACAAAACTATTGACAGTTTGTGAAACAGTTTCTAAATATTTGAGCACATCATAATTTCCCATAGTCAACTGAAAATTCAAGCTGAATTCTGATGAATACTTCAAACACAGCAAAGCCCTGATCCTATGTATCTGTTTGTTTGTTTATACCAGTACTGTGGCTTGAACTCAAGGCCTTGAATTCTTGCTATTTTTATTCCACTCAAGGCTGGTACTCTCCCACTTACTTCCAACCTTCTGCTAGTTATTTAGAGATAAGAGCCTCACAGACTTTCCTGTTCCTGCTTGCTTAGAACTACAATCCTCAGGTCTCAGCCTCCTGACTGGCTAGGATTACAGGTGTGAGCCACCAGTGCCTGGCCTTGCTTCTTATTCTAAGCCGACAGTTTGGGGAAAATAGAGGCACTAGTGGTCAGCAGTATACATTTGTCATAGCTCTCTGGCTTACATTATTGCCCTGTCTTCCCAAGAATCCCTGTTTTATTATTCATCTATGTTTCATGTATTATTTCATCTTTTCTCTTTCAAAGTTGAGAAGAAAGGACTGTATCATCATTCTGGAGATGAAGAAGCTGGGCTGGAGGATCTTTGTTTCTAAGATGCTGCTGGCTAATGCCCATAATGCTAAGGGGAAAACCATATCATCTAGCTAAAGGCTAGAATAATCACATGATACACGAGGCAAGGGCAATTTCCATCACCTGATACAAGGTGTCAAGGCTCCAGTGATAGAATGCTTCTACCATTTTTTTTCAATATTACATAGATGGGAGGAATAAATCTTTGCAGGAGTGAGTAGGGATTCCTGAAGACAAGGAGCATTCATAAGAAGGTATTATTAGCAAGGAATAGAAGTATAGGAAAAGGATCGGAGGAAAGAGGTCAGTAGAACTACACAGGGACACAGGTGACTGGCTGAGAAGCTCCCCCAGAAAGATGGGGAGCACGGGGAATACCCAGTTGAAGAGGAAGTCTGGCTGATGGAACTTTCCTTTACCATCACCAAGATATCCTGCTCTCTCTGACAGCCACAAATTTGCTTTCAACCATCTACAAGGTCACAAATCTCATTTGAAGAACTGTGGCCACTGAATAACTTGTTTTCCCTCTCAAACCCACGTTCAAAACAGTTCCCATCAATCCAAGACTCGCTGGCCCTTCTCTTGACAAATGCATCACTGTGTGCTCTTAGCCATGTCACACCAGCCAGGAAGATGAATGAATCTGGACAGCAAAATCAGGAGACAGTAAAACCCAAAGAATCTAAGCACCAGCAACTCAGAGAAAGTTCAGAAGCTTCCTTTAGCTCCAGCCAGGACCCAGAAACAGCTGAGGAGGTCTCCTTACCCAATTTGGCGGTTGGTAGAAGGTGCCTGCGTGATGACCGAGCTGGACTGAGGCGAAGGCATGGCTTGCTGAATGACAACGCTGGTGTCGTGGTTGGGCATCCGGGTATTGCCCAGCTGATGAGTTCCAGGCCCGGTCATGGCCCCACCAACTGTATTATGCATCGCAATATTCTGCCCAGAGGAGACAAAAGCAAGAGGTCAAAAGGAATCAATGTTTCATTCTATGTCCCATTTCTCAATGGCCAAAACTGGGAATCTGGTCACGTCAATTAAACAGAGTTATGTCTTCTGGCAAAACTTGGACCCATTTGTCTTGTTGTAACTTAGAGCTATAAGGACATGAAAAATATCAGTTCACCCTTACTTTTGTGTTAAGTGCTTAATACTGTGAGTTAGTGAATTCAGTTCTGCCTTAAGTAATGAGCACATTGGATTTGGTTTTGTTTGCTTTTCACCCCTCTTTCAGTCCTATCAGAGTGGCCAATTGCTAATCTTTTTTTTCTTTTTTCAGGAAACGATTCCAAATTGTGATCTGGACACTCAGCAATCCATGTCCAGATGGATGACAGGACCTCAGGGATCCAATACAACCCTGGTTAATATTCCGCTGAGTTTCCAGAATTGCAGGGAATATACACTACCAGAGAGAGACTTGCTTGTTCACTGTCTTTTTTTTTTTTTTAATTTAATTTAATTTTATTTGTGAACATACTGTACAGAGGAGTTACAGTTACATGGGCAGGATAATGCGTACATTTCTTACCAAGCATTGCAGCCTCCTCCTTTGTTTACCCTTCACATCCCTTCCCAGCCTCCCCCCTCCCCCACTGTCTTTTCCTCGAGACTGCAGGATGTCTTCACCCACTCTACTCTACACACCATGTGAGTAAACGAGAAAAGGAACAAGTGAAGCACTTGACTCAGGCCTAATACCATGTGGTCATTTCCGATGACTTGTACTGGGGAAGAGCTTTTTCTTTAAATTAAGAAAATCTGCTGATACATGCAAGATAAAATTTAGTATAAAGGATAGCTCACACCTATAATCCTAGCTATTTGAGAGGCTGAGATCTGAGGATCACAGTCCAAAGCCAGCCAGGGAAGACAAATTTGAGAGACTCTTATGTCCAATTAATGAGCAAAAAGCTAGAACTGGAGGCATTGCTCAAGTAGGAAAGCACCGAGTGCTCTAGGCACTGAGTTTAAGTCCTGATACCAACAAGTATTCATACACACACTCACACTCATTCACACACTCTCTCTATCTCTCTCTCTCTCACACACACACACATACAAACATGGCAGTTCTTATTATACAACCTTACACAAAGAAGGAGCACATACTGAGGTAGAAGATAGCTGATGGATGCAATGAGGGAAAAATTTGAGAAAGAAAATTCAGAACTTAGTGAAGAAAGAGATTCTACAATTTAGGCATTATAGCTCATGTTTGTAACCCCAATTACAAATGGGAAAGACACAGTTAAAGGCTCAAGCAAAAAGTTAGCTAAATTTCATTTCAACCAACAAACCAGGGGTGTGGTAGTGCATGTTTAAAATGAATCCCGGCTGTAGGGAAAGTTGTAGGTAGAGGGATATGTTACCAGGCTAGCCAAGACGAAATGATGAGGCTCTAATCTGAAAACAAAACAAAACAACAACAAAAACTAGACCAGAAAAAGGACTGGAGGCATGGGCCTAAGTGGTAGAGCACCTGTCTAGCAACTGGGAATGCAGTTTGCTAGAATTCAGTCTAAGTGCAAACTCCAGTACCATCAAAAACAGGGAGGAGGGAGAGAGGGAAGGAGAGAGGAAAGGAGGGGGAAGGAAAGAAAGGGAAGGAAAGGAGAAAAGGATGGAGAGAGGAAAGGGAGGAAGGAAAGAAGGAAGAAAGAAAGGAAGGAAGAAGGGAAGGAGGGAGGAAGGGAAAGAAGGAAGGAGGGAGGGAGGGAGGAAGGAAGGAAGGAAGGAAGGAAGGAAGGAAGGAAGGAAGGAAGGGAGGGAGGGAAGGAAAGGGAAAGGGAGAAAGAGAAAGAAAGAAAGAAAGAAAGAAAGAAAGAAAGAAAGAAAGAAAGAAAGAAAGAAAGAAAGAAAGAAAGAAAGAAAGAAAGAAAGAAAGAAAGAAAGAAAGAAACGAAGGAAGAAATGAAGGAAGGAGAGGCAAGAATACTAAACAGACTAAATAGACCTCTGAATAGCCAGGTACAATTTAGTCTACATAGGTGAGGTACTTACAGAGGACAGTTGGACTGAGGATGAGAGGGGAAAAAATGACGTGTCACTAGCAATTTACTCAAGAAAAAAATATATATATACCTGTCTACACTTTGGGGTTAGCAAGGGAAAAAACAAATGTTACCCATGAGATCTAGAAGTGGTTCTTTGAAGTTCTTCTGCAAAGCACAGGATTTCCTGCACTATGTGTTAAATGACGGTGAGAACATATAAGGCACTGGAGGTGGTTGCGTCCATCACGTGGCACCTTTCCCAGGTTTCTGATTTTTAAATCCTGACCACACAGTTTGTCAGGAGTCCAGACGGAAACTGGGCAACCTGGCTTAGACTGCGAGCCAACCATGTTGTCACTAGATCCCAAAGGTTCAAATGTACACACTTATTGGAAAGTTTTCCTGATGTGAGAAAATACTGTGGCTGGGTGAAGTGAGATGGAAGGAAATGGAGACTTACATCTGAGTGGCCATGCAGGTAAGAAGTATGTATGTATTATTATTATCTTTAAGTACTTGTACAAAGGTGTTTCAATTCAACAAGTCAGATTATGGGTATAATGCATCTTGATCAATGTCACTCCTTCTATCATTCTTCCCCTTCTTTCTCAGTCTGTACCCTTAAGTTTTATGTGATTCTATTTTCACATACATTAACTACAATGACTGTATTCACCAAGTAAGAAGTGAAGATTTCAAGAATTAGGTTCAACTAATAATGACAATAAAGATAATTGTGTTATTCCTTTTGAGATTGAACCTTATTTCCCCATGTCTTAAAGATATCTGAATAAGGCAAACAACCATAGAAGCTCTTTTCCATTGACCTGTACAACATACACCATTTGTTTTTCACTGTCTCACAGTTATCTACCTTGTCAACAACAGTGCAAGGTATGGAATAGGTCTGTCTCCTTACAATGATTTCCATTGTGCCATGCTTTGATTGTGGACCAATTAAACTAGACAATTAAATTTACAATGAAAAAAATATAAAATGTATGAAGCCTCCTCAGGTAACCCTGGATACCTCTTCTCTATCATAGTGATACAGAGCCACCAAATCCTATAAAATCTACCCTTAGTGTCTTTCATCTATTCTGGTTTTTCCATCTCTCTGTTGGGTGGAAAGTCCACTATTAGGACAGTAAGTTCCTAACTGGCCTTTGTCATGCTATCTTCCTACTTCCCATACAAGTGCAATAGCAGTCGCTCCCTACACACACTGATCACACACTCTTACACACACACACACATACAGAGAAAGAGAGAGAGAGAGAAACAGCATTCTGTGTGACCCCCAAGGCTCGCCTTCCTTCCCCAGCTTCACTCCAGCCTCTGATTCTTCTTGTCTTTCTGACTTCCCCTGCCCTCATTCTGACCTTGTTCTAATTCAGCACCAGGTCTTAGGATTTGGCTGTTTTCTGACACAATGTTTATTCTTGTTCTAACTCCATCTTCCACTCAGACAGGACATCAAGCAGGGAAACCTTCCCCAACCTCTCCAAGGATAGAAATAATTTTCTTTTTCTCCGTAGGCCTTATTACATTACAGTTGTTATTGGCTATCTCAGTAACGCTGTTTCTCCCTTGGTCCTAAAGCACATTTAGAGAAGGAACTACATAGGCATTTGTTCTCTACTATGACTCCAATGGCTGGGTCAGTACTTGGGATGTCATAGAGCTCAGTAAGTACAGAGTGAATGAATGAACCATAACATTCCTAGAATATTTCCTGGTCAGTCTGAGAGTGCTAACATTCTGTCTGTTCACTTTGTAATGTGAAAGAATGCTTAGATGCCAGGCACTTCTTCAATTATGGGCTGGGTAAAAAGAGAGGATCTGGACTAAAGAGAAAGCCATACAGCACGTACACCAGAAAGGAAGTCTTTGAAAAGGATGGATCAATGAGCTCTTTAAGGAAGATGATGAGTGGTGGGCTTCCAAGCTTTGAGCACTTTTGGCACAATAAATGGGTACATTCACCATCAAAATTGAGGAAAAGAAACATCTTTGGTAGTACAAAGAACATAAATGGATTCTTCAGTAAATCATGTTAAATAAGAGAAAGGACTATATCAACCATCCCACTTACCAAAGCTAAGAATATTTTCTGGGAATCACTACAAACAGTAAGCAAGCTATTATCTAGTATTCCTTACATTCTCCCTCATTGTAAAGATGTCTCTTTATCTTAGAGATCTCCATCAGAGATAGAAAAGCCTCCCAAAAGTTATATTTTAACTTGGGCAACCTCTCTCCCACACATACAAAATCTCAAGGTTTCGTCTTCTTTCCTTATACCCAGAGAATAATTTCACAACACTTTGAAATATCAACAATTCAGAAAATGCATTATCGTTTTACATTTATAGACAGTGACTTTTTTAAGCATTACATATTAATTTAGACATGAAATAATCTTATGAGTTTATGTTGTCCCAATTATGGTTTCAAAAAACCTGTTTTCACTGAAAAAAAGAATGGAATTTTGCCTCCAGATAAATTCTATATCCAATTTCAAAACTATGATTCTATCTTGCTGAGTTTCTTTTCTTTTTTTTTTCTTTTAACATGTAGGTGTATATATTGGAAACTGGTGAAACAATGGCACAAAATGGATGACATTGGATGGATGTCAGAATGTAGATAAGGATTCTCCAAGCTCAGTCTTCATCCTTTTCTAGTTCAACATCTTTATGAACAGCTTGGCGAAAGATGTAAAAATCATGCCCATCAAGTCTGCAGTTGACACAAAGTTGGGAGACATAGCTTGTGTTCTGGATAGCAGAATCAGGATTTCCTTGAGCCAACTATGTGATCTGGCCTCCAAGAATGCTAACATTTATCTAGGTTGTTTTAGGAGATGTGGAATATCCAGATCAAGGGTAGTAATTATTCCACTGTAGAATGGGTCGTACTGATCACATTTGGCCACCACAT